ACTTTTTGATAAAATTAATATCTTTTATTTGGATTTTTGGGCTGCATTTAGGATCACAGCATGACTACACCTCCGTCTTTCGAACTGATTTCATAACTGATTCCAAGTGTTACTTCTAATGAAGAACCTGAGATTGGTATTGTTACTCAACCAAGTGTTACTCCACCTGGGATTAGTGCGGGGGATGCTGAGGGCCTAAAGTTCCATTATTCACAGTAGAAAACGCATACATATTTTTAGGTAGCATGATTGTTGCCATTGCGATTACAATGTCGTTTGACAAAACTCTGTTTAATACGTTGCTGAAAGCTAGAATCAATGTGATTTTTGCAGTACCCATTTTTTTTTTTGGGCAGTTTATGTTTTTTATATGGTCTCTGCCTCTCAATGGTGTGTAAATCGTGTATATTGAGTAAATGCCCAAGAATTGGGTAGCTGGTACTGAAAGTTGGCATGGGGGTTATTGCATGCGCCCTTGTGGCTACTGTTGGCCACCTATTCCTCGAGCCGATAATGTATTGGTTCATTTTTGGGCTTGTTGTGGCCTGCTCACCGCCAATTTTTTGTGTTGTAGTGAGATATTAGTAACCTTTGTGTTGTAGTGAGATATTAGTAACTTTTGTGGTGTAGTGAGAGAAAAATATTGGTTACATAATTCAAAATTCATAGTATATGGTATTTCACTATTCATTAATATTTTTTTTCTTTATTGTGGAAACCTTTATGTTAATTCCAAATTTTTTTACGTGGGAAATTCATGTTGTAATTTACTAAAGTTATGAAATGTTGAGGAATGGAATTCTAAATTTATAAAATGCAGAAATTTGCATTTAAAATTTGTATAAATATCACAAATTAGAGAAAATCAAGCATGTAACAATTTCGTCGAATACAAAAGATTTTATATAAAAAAATTGACGGTAAATTCTAACTCTCACCTGTGCGTTTAATGTGTTTTCCATATAATTGGTCTTTGACAAATTGATGGATTTCAAGATCTATAATTAAATTATTTCTAAATCTTCATTATTAATTTACATTTTTTAGACTCTCCTCATTTTAAAAAAAAAAAAAAAAAAAAAAACCTTGAAATTTGCTTTTTATTTTTTTCTCTTGGTCTATAATATACTTTTTGAATTGAAATAGGAAAAATTAATTTTACATTTATAGTTTTGTACCTTCAAAGTATTGCTTGTATTTTTTTTATTAATTTATTAGAATTTTAAATGTTTAATCTTAATTAATGGGGTAGGTCGGGGCGGAGCTATGACCACCTCCGTCCTTGACTTGTCTCTGAGGCCGAGAAATTTCATAGGGCTTGGGCCCATCCTGACCCTCGACTGTTTTAGGAAATCTTTGGCTCGTTCGAGCAAGGGTAGGTCCTAGACGATCCAGGCCAAATGCCCATCCCTAGTCTAGTTATATACTACTTAATATAATAACCAAAATTAAGGATAATACTACTTAATATAATAACCAAAATTAAGGATAAGTCATTTGCCTTTAGTTCGACTCCGATTGAGTTTAGTGACATCTCATCAATAAATGAGTAAATTTATTTAATTTCTTGAATTAAGGCAACAAAATTAATAATTCCTAGGTCACTTTTAACTGTTTTTATTGGAAAAAGGAGGTGATTGGTGGTAGCTTGCCGAATGCTCCAAATTAACAACCTTCCTAACCTAACAACTGAATTGTATATAGGTTAAGCAAGGGTTGATCCCACAGAGAATGGTTCGATTAATTCTTATGTTCTAAAACAATGAAAACAATAGAAAAATAAAATAAAACCCTAAACAGTAAACATGACAACGGTAATGAAAGGGGGGTGTACTCAATGCAATCTAAAGTAAAACAAAGCAATTGCTAATGGTAGAAAATATCAGATTAAACACAATCAGTTCTCGGTCCAAGATCCACCTAAACATGCATTGGACATAAAGTAACCGTAACACTGATCTATCTCGTTATTATGGAACTATTGACCCTAGGAAACAACAAGCTCTGTTACCCGAATTCTCCCTTAGTTTGTCACTACTGAAATAAGCTCTTCGAGTAGATACTAACCCTTGAACAACCTCGAACAAGCTCTCTAAATTTAATTCAATGGCAGCCTTAAGAATTAGGAGAATAGATCAATCTAAGCAACAATCACGCAAGCTTGGATTATTTAACTTAGGTTATGTTATTCAAGACAATAGACTAAAAACTTGACCATAATCAGCTATCATCATGTGTCACTCGTTGAATAGAAAAAGGACAATTACGGATCACAATTCCTAATTCTAACAGATAAAATTCCTATAAAATAATTCAGCAGGCCATTACTAAATCACCCAAACAGAAAATTATAAACAATTAAAATAGAATAACATAAAAAATTCCAATGAAAACAAGATTAAGAACAATGTTACTGAAGTTAGGCTACACCAATGACATGAATTTAGGCTTCAAAATCCCCTTGAACTGAAGAAGAAAGATCAGCCTCACATCTTGACGTAGAAAGTAAAAGAAAACCGAAAAAAACTAAAAACTACTGTTGTCTCTCTTTTCTTGGTTAACCTAACACTCCTGAATAAATAACATGTTTTTCTCCTAATTCTACCCCAGGAATCACGAAAAATCTTTCCTAGACGTTTCCTAAAAGATAGACTTCCAGATTTGACAAAATCTTATCAAATATGGATTCCAGAATTCGTCTTCAGCTTGCACCAGGATTCTCGCAATGTAAAAGATCTTTTCTGGGCTCGGTCACTTCATAAAAATTGTAGTCCTAGATGTATAGATGAATCTGGGATTTTGAATCACCCGCTTTCGATATTTGACGCTCCAGTTAGGCCCATTCGAAAATTCAATACTTAGCCAGGAAATCCTTTCACGACTAGGATTCCAGGTCCGGTTTTACAACAACTAATGAAGACCCAAACGAACTCTGATTCTCGCCCATAATACCTTTCTGGAAATCTTGATTCGTCAACTTTATTTTTTATGAAGAACACTTTTGCAATCAAGAACTCTGACTCCATGAAAAACCTAAAAAATGTAGCACTGGTTAGAATAACAAAAATCTGGAATTTCCTAATCTTTTATCACTTATTTCCAAAATCTATCCAACTATGGCAAACTCACAAAATAAACTCTAATAAACTCAAATAGGCATAAAACATGACAAAAAACATAATATAGAAGGAATAAAAATATATAAATTACACTCTTATCAATTGGTTGCGCCGATTGGGAAGCGGGGGTGTGTATTAGATTAAATGTCTACTTTTATGTTAGTCTAGTAGTGACTAAGTACTTATAATTTATAAAGCCAAATAAGAATTCTATAAATTATAAAAATCCTATAAAAACATAACAAGGTAGAAAAAGTAACTCATAGCTGAAGAACCATAATGATGTTTATAACAAAGAATTAAGTCGACCATTTGGTGACAACTCCAACCAATTTAACTTCAGCTTCAATTATGACACTGTCATCAACCAAGAAACATTGTTTTGGATTCTTCAGTTGTTCTAATGCCATGAATCTATGGAAACCAATCTTGTCTGAGGGTTTATACACGGATTGACCTAGAGGGAAGATGAAAAGAAAGTAGTTAAGAACAAAATTTATATAAAAATTTCAAGCACTTACAAGACTTATCGTATAGAGACTTGATATCCACTTTTTTTCAAAAATGCAAACATCAATTATTAATAATTTTATGTAAGTAATAAAAAGTTGTGAAGTGCTAATGAATAGAATTCTGAATTTATAAAATGCAGAGATTTGCATTTAAAATCTGTATAAGTATCACAAATTAGAGAAAATCAATCGTAGAATACAAAAGATTTTATTTCAAAAAATTGACTGTAAATTCTAGCTCTCACCTGTCCGTTTAATGTGTTTTCCATACAATTGGTCTTTGATACACATAGTAAACATAGCCAAGAATTGGTATCCATTAACAGGATCTGAAAATGTACTCAAGTCAATGAAGTTTTTAATACCCCATTTGGTCTTCATCTCCTGGAATTGCTTTACACTCCCATCTGCATCAATCATAATTATCTATTAATAAATGTATAAAAAATGAATAAATATGGTATTTTCTCACAATTAATTTCTAATAAAAAAGTTGTAACTATACTACCTTGAAGATTAAAATATTTCTCTTTTAGCTGATTAAATAAGAAAAAATTGAAAACCATGTTGACTTCCCATCCAGTTTGAAGAGAACTTGTGCGTAGCAATTCCAATTGCAGATATAATCTATTTTAGCTTTGATCCAATCCCCACTTAGATAGATGATGAACAATTTTATAACCTCGCAAGTACACAAATCGCTCCCGTAGTCTAGTATACAAAAGCAAGGGTTAGTCCCACAGAGATTTATAACCAATTTACTAATCCTAATAACTATGCTTCAATTAAAACTAAAAACAAGACTTAATAATGAAAAATTGAGGAAGATCACTTTAAAAGCAACAATAGAATAAAACTAAAATTAAACAACTATTAAAATTATCTAAAACCCAATTGACCAAAAGCTAGGGCTCCAATTTCACCATAATTATCCAGCTCTATGTCAAACATCTCACTATTGTTTATCAATTCAGTCTCTAGGGTTTGCATTCCCTAAATCAAGGTATTATCATAAGGAGTTTGGGATTAACCTAGTATTTTTAACACAAGATTAGCTAGGGCGTATAGTCTAACCTATGAATTAAAAACTCATTAAACACAGGAATACTCAAAATCAAGAACAAAAGCGCATCTGTCAGGGCGTATGTACAAACACTAATTATTCAAGAAATCATGAACCAATAATATTTTGTCAGGGTGTATGCACAAAATACTAGTAATTTATTCAATAATCTGAACACAAAAAACCTACTAATTCACACTAAGTGTCGTCACACAATAATGAAAACTAAAGGCAGAATAAATACATGAATGAATCTAGATTTTCATTGAATTGATAACAATAAATATATGTTTAAACATAGGGCCTTCTAATTAGGCGACATTAGATCCCTAAATAAGAGTTTAGTTACACATTGATATTAAAGAGAGCAAACCTGAAATTCCCCTAAAAGCATGAATAATCCAAACCTTAGAAAGAATCTCCTTCTTTTTCTTGATAAAAAAGTAACTCTCAATTTAGGTCAAAGAGCATCCCTAAACTAAATTACAAAGTCCTATTTATGCTTTTCCTTTGCTAGGGGTGTTTTTCAGAAATACAAGTTAAGTCGGAGTTGGAAAATATGAGGTTTTTATTTTTCTCGCGATCCATGCCGCGACATGATTTTCTGGCGCCGCGGCGCCAAATTCTTCCGCAAACATAAAACTTTGTCATGCCACGGCACAAACTTCTTCACACCACGACATGAACTATATGTCCAAATTCAGCTTCTCCCGCCGCGGCATAGAAAACTTATGCTCGGCGCAAAAAAACCATGCCATGACGCCATCCAGCAATTTCACATTCTTTTTTTTGATTGATGATCCGACTTCTCTCTTTAGCACGTACAATGCCTCCAACCACCGTATGACATAAATTCATCACTTTTTCAGCCTAAAAACCTGAAACTCATACACTACCAGTGATTTTGGAAAATAGAAATATACAAAGAAACTTGTATAAAAATAATTCATGAAAGTCATGAGTTCCCTACAATCTACTAATAAAATCATGGAATATATATATCATTTCATCACTCATCAATAGATAATCAATTTCTTGTGATAGGAGTTAAATTTTCGTTTAGTGAAGAACATTATTCAAATTTATCATCATCTTACTTGTGCTTAAGTATAATTTATAAAGGACAAAGTTGAGTAAAGTGCACACCATCTGTAGCCCCCTGCAACAAAAGTGTCCGAGATAAAGTCATCTGCTAAAGCTTTAGATAGGAAAGAGAAGGAATCCATTTTGAATAAGTAGTGACTTGGTGAAGCATGCCTTCCTGAAAGAAAATAAACTAAGAGATATAAGCTTACTCAATGGCTCAAAATTATTTTAATAACAAAACCATTTGGTTTGATTAGTTGTAAAAAAGGGTTAAAATTTTATATTGAAACAACAAATTCCATACATGAAAATTTTTACCTCCATGCATAATCATAACTCTTGATGGAAACTAATATTCGAAAATTGAATTTCAGATATACCTATTAAGCCTTTGGAATCTCGGTTGCCCATGTTGAAGCAGCTTTTGGAACCATTGTTGCCCATGCTGAAGTAAGAAGATTTGAGGTTTAAATAACAGAGACGAAAAGAACCGAAATCTGAAGACTTGTATGTGTCACAGGTCGAAATATAAGTCACTTTGTATCTAAACTTTAGGAGAACTTAATATATATATACACACAACTAATCAATTATAAACCGAATGCCAGTTGTATGATCTTGTCTTGTGTATATCTTTTATAGGGGATTTTGTTTTTCGAATTTAATTAGAGGATATTCTTTCCAAGAATACTAGTTGGGTGGGATTCAAATTCTTTGTGAAGCTTGAACTTATATAAAGGATTTAAAAACAAATATAACTTCCATTTAAACATAAGAACTCCGGTTGTATGAGGCCTCCAATTGAGGTCTAGTTAATGACATCTACCTAATGAGTAACTTTATTCAATTTTTTGAATTAAGATAAAAAATAAATTCAAAATTCCCTTAAAATAAGGTCCATTTTAATAATTTTCATGAAACATGTTTGTGGAAAAGGTAGCGGTTAAAGGTTTTTATTTTAATTTTTTTTTTATTATTATTTTGAGGATTTAAGGATGGGAAGGTTAAGAATTTTAATAAAAGAATACTGAGTAAAAGAATGATGATTATCTTAAATTTAGAAGGATATATTTATGCCTTTTGATATATTCTTAATTTTCAAGAAAAATCTGGAAGGATTTCATTTCTTTCTGAGTTTTAACTTCCCATTTTAAATAGAATAACTCCAGTAAGATTTATTCCAGGACTTGAACTCTCTGTGAGTTATACAAAAGAGTATAGAATTATAACTTCCAGTTAAAATAAAGACTTCTAGCTATATAATTCTTAATAAGCAAAAAAATGTATGTAATTAAGAATTATATAGCTTATAAGAATTCCTACAAACATAACAAGGTAGAGAAATGTACGCCAGAAGAGCAACTATCATCAATAAGGTGTCCATTAATGGGATCTGAAAATGTATTCAAGTCAATGGAGTTTTTGACACCTCATTCGGTCTTCATCTCATGGAATTTCTTTACACTACCATCTGCATCAATGAAAATTGAAGATTGCTAACATTTCTCTCTCAAGGCTTTAATAATAAATAGTTATAACTATATTACCTTGAAGACTGAGGGTGCGTTTGGTTTAGTATTTTGGATAAGATTTTGGGGATAGTATTGAGTTGTTGGATATGGGAGTATTACGAGGTAAATTTTAAAAATTTATGAAAAAGTCCTTAGGTTTACTAATTTAATTAAAGACCCTAATATATAAAATGACAAAAACACCCTTATCACCTGCAGTGCCAGATTCCGGCCACTACCATCGGAATCTGGCCAGAAAATTTCGTTACGGCACAGACTGGCCGGATCTGTGCCCTAACGCATCATTATGGCCTTTTCCGGCCAGCTACACCACGGATCTGGCCAGAAAAGGCCAGATCTATGGCCTACTATGGCCGTCGACGGCCGAAAAAGGCCAAAACGATAGCCATCTTTGGATGTGACTGTCGTTTTCGGTCAACGACGGTCATTTCTTTGGCCGTCACTGACAGCCAGATCTAGCCTTTTCCTACTAGATCGGTGAACTTTCGGCTATTTATGGTTGGAAGTTAGGCCGTTGTACAGATTCCGGCAATCATCGATGGTGGTTGCCGGAATCTGACAAGTTGGGTTGATGGGGGTGTTTTTGTTAATTTTTAAACTTTTTTTCATGGGGTATTTAGTGAAATTAATAACCTTATGGGGTCTAAAAGTAATTAAAAAAATAGGGTAATATTTCTGGAATAATGTGCCAAATATTATTTGGAGAATATGATTGAAAATATGGATAAAAATAGGGAGCCAAACGCACCCTAAAATATTTCTCTTTTAGTTTATTGAATAAGAAAAAATTGAAAATCACATCGACTTCTAATCTAATTGGAAGAAAATTTGTCTCTATTAGTTCCAAATTCACGGAGATATAACCTATCATATTTTTTCTCAGCTCCCCATTTATGAAGATATATAATCTACTGTGATAACCTATCATATTTTTGGTGATTGTATTAAACTATTATGTTATAACAAATTTAATAACGTAATAGTTTAATTAAACCTAAGTTATATATATATATAACAAATTAATCATACATTTGTATTGATCATATATCACAATAGACTCTCATATCACTATGAATTTATGGGTGTTGATACAAAAAATATATATATATTAATCACACATTTGTATTGATCATATATTATAATAGACGCTCATATTACTATGAATATATGGGTGTTGATACAAAATATATATACAGACATTTAAAATATTTATGATAATTTATGTAAAGATAATATATATATAATAATCTATAATTTTGATAATTTAATGACACATTAAACAAATTTAATCAATGATTAATATATGTATGATAATAATTTTGCATATACACAATTACATATTATATATATATATAAAACAAATTAATCACACATTTGTATTGATCATATATTACAACAGACTCCTATACTATTATGAATTTATAAGTGTTGATACCAAATATATAACAAATTAATCACATATTTGTATTGATCTTATATTACAATAGACTCTCATACCATTATGAATTTATAGGTGCTGATACAAAATATATATGTAGATATTTAAATCATTTATGATAATTTATGTAATGAAAATATATATATGATAACTTATAACCAACAAACTAACCCGACCCAGCCCAAATTTGGTATATATTTTTTATTCGAACAGGTATTTACAAGTTATTCGAACAATTAATCAAAAGATTAGTCGAACGATCACAAACAACTTGTTTTGTTAATCGAATGAACTCGAACAGTCATTCTGTGTTCGTTCGAGTTTGAACATGATTTCGAACAACCCTTTGTGCTTATTGAACGACTTTTGAATGGAGGTGTTCGTTTATGTTCGATTCGCTTGCAACCCTACTCCCTATATGTTTAAATTCTCTCAATCCCCCATACCTTTAAATACTTTTGTGAACCCCCTATACCTTTAGATCCTTGCAGTTAAGCCTTCGATATAATTTAACCCTATAAAGCTTCAAAGCTCAAGTCATTTATTCATCCATTAATGCATCTAAAGCCCAATTACTAAAATATGGACTTTATTTTAATAGGCCCGACTCAGTTATAATTAAACCCAATAAAGCTTCAAAGACTAAGTTCTATATTCATTGAATTATGCAACTAAAGCCCAATTAACAAAATCTGGGCCTTATTGTTAATAGGCCAACCCACTAATTCACATAAAACTCAAACCATCAGCACCGGTCAGATTTGGCCACGACCAAAGATATGGTCAAGATACTCACTACGCTTCCTTCTCAGGACTCCCTCCCTTCTATCTGAATTAGGTGGCGCATATCCCTTTGGCTTACTATTTTTATCCAGATTCTGGATCCTATTCTCCAAATAACGTTTGGCTTACTATTCCAAGAATATTACCCTATTTTTTTAATTACTTTTAGACCCCATAAGGTTATTAATTTCATCAAATACACCCTAAAAAAAGTTTAAAAATTATCAAAAACACCCCCGCAACCCATACTCGCCAGATTCCGGCAACCACTGTCGGTGGTAGCCGAAATCTATACAACGGCCACCCTGCCGACCATAAATGGCCGGAAGTTCACTGATCTAGCCTTTTCCGGCCAAATCCACCACGGATTTGGCCGGGAAAGGCCAGATCTGGCCGTGAACGACGGCCAAAGATGGCCGTCGTTTTGGCCTTTTTGGCCGTCGATGGCCACGGCAGGCCGTAGATCTGGCCTTTTCCGGCCAGATCTGTGGTGGATCTAGCCGGAAAAGGCCATAACGACTCGTTACAACACAGATCCGACCGGTCTGTGTCGTAACGCGATTTTCCGGCCAGATTCCGACGGTGGTGGCCAGAATCTGGCACTGCAGGTTGTGGGGGTATTTTTGTCAATTTACATGTTAGGGGTATTATGAAATTAGCAAACTTAGGGGGTTTTTCTATAAATTTTTAAATTTTACCTCGTAATACTCCCATATTCAATTATCCAATACTATCCCCAAAATCCTACCCAAAATAATAAACCAAACGCATACCCTGTTGTCAGTTCATATTTAAATTTCAACAGGAAAAAAACTATATTCAATAAAGATGACTCATGTTACTTAAGAAGCCAGATTATGTAAATCCCGGTACACAGATGGAGACAATCATTTGAATGCATGCTCCTAAAATGATTCCTTTTAACTTTTGAACAATAGGAATAGACGACTACTAACTAAAAAAGACAAACAGAACTATAATGAATTGTAAGGAAACACATCAAGCCTCAATATCAGTTGAGTAATAAACTAAAAGGCCAATACCTACTCAAAATATGTACGGTACATAGAATGAGCACAAACCAGCTTCCATATCTTTCAATTGATCTCTCTCACCAGAGTTAGCATAAAGCAACCAATTTATGCATAAAGATTAACAAGAAATCCACACCATAGTTCTTTACAAGTGCAAGTGTTCATTCATCAAAGAGTTTATTAGTCCAAAATTTTCTTAAAAATATCGCTTAAAAGAATTACCAGTGAGAGAAATTCCAAAGAAATGATCAAAAACAAACTCTCTGGTCAATGTACTTCCTAAACTGATGGCAAGTAATAGAGCATAAAGCTTACCAAGAGAAGCCTCCATACAGTAGGGTGCATGTATGGTGGTACACCACTCCAAGCTAACTCTCGTAATCTTTCTGAATGATTAAGCAAAAAAGAATACAGTATAAATTAGAAGCTAGTAGAGAGATAGAAAAAAAATAATAATAATAAAGGATCCTAATCTCAATTAAAAACCAAATCAGTTCCTTTAGAAATTTCAATACCAATAGATAAGCAAGAAGCTATATAGCAGGATACCTAATATGACCATTGAACCAGATAGCTCCTTTGTAAATTTCATAACCCTTGAAGAATCTGTAGCTCTAGCACCCATGCTGGACTTCTAAGATTCGTTGAACATAGTTTCAATATTTGAATTTGTTGACTTTAACATATAAGAACTTCCATTATTTGGCTTGGTTGTATCATGGTCTTCTACCTGCATGATAAGTAAATAGCAAATCAAATACTTTAATTTTTAAACTTCAGATGATACTTAAATTGTGAAATTAAATAAAAAATAAAAAAAAGGAATATTTATCATAAATAATACCTCTATGGAATCATGCATGTGATCGCTTGTCCCAGCGTCATTCTGAGAGAGGCTCTGACCAAAACTTGGGGAATGTAAGCTTGGGTCCTCTATAGGCTCTGCCTTTCTGGTCAGCAATATTTTACCAGGAATACTGCGACCTTTAAGCAACCTAAATTGCAAGAAAGATACAGAAACCAAGTTACAAATTACAGCAATCTTATAGCTTGTACCAGAGGATGATGATGAACAGATATTTCCAGAAAAAAGATACAGAAAACAAAATGCTGGCACAACAGCTATAGAAGCATTTTATGTGAACTCTTTAAATATGAGATAACATCATTTGAAACAACCAATACCAGTATCATCCTGTCATTACCAATTGGTATAAGCAAAATGCTGGAATCTATCTATCATGCAATGGAGACAACGGCCAGCAATATTAAAGGAAGCCATTAACAATCTGACGAAGAATTTTACTGATCACAGCTTTGCACAAAAATCGAAGTGTTTCGATAATTAAATGAAAATTTCTACAATCTGTAGCTAATAGCAGCAACTTCCACAAAAAAAATGACACCTAAGACCATACTAACTTATTTGCAATTCTGCACTCAGTATCAGTCAGCAAATTTAGAATATGCAAGTAAACATTCATAAATAACAAATTCATAACTGTCATACATCAAACCATAATAAACCTAATGTAATTCCCCAAGTAAATCACACTCCACTAATTTACAATAACACTAAGCTTAAACAGTAAAACAAAAATCATGCTTTAAAATATTTTAGATCCAAATGAATCTTCAATCTTCCGTTTCCTCTCTTCACATTCTCTTTTGAAGCAATGAATTCATCAAACTCTAACGAATCACACAACTCTTCTCTCACTAAATTTCACAAAAAACAAATTCAAGATCACCCATCTCAAAGGTCAAAACCTAAAGTTTCACATAACACTCAAATTCTAGATCACCAACCCCAACTAAAGAGATCTACCATACCCACCAAAACCAATCCCCAAATCCAAACAAAACCCGCAACAACCAATCAAAAAACCAATAAACAAAACACCCAGAAACCATTTCCAAGATCTGCCGCTAATCCCCAAATGGGCACTCAAATCTGATGCAAAAAAATGAAATTTACGATAAAATTTGTAAAAAAGGAAGCTTTTTTAACATACCCCTGAACATTCTTGAGGGTTTGGTTGAATCTGGAATCCAGGGTTGAGGCAGAAATGGTGTCTCTTTCGGGATGATTTTGATTCTGATTCTGATTCTGATTTTGATTTTGTTCTTCTTTCTCTTCTTCTTTGGTGGTGTCGCTGTTTTGGTGATTAATGTGCATGCTTACTGTTGTCGTAGCTGTTGCGTAAAGGCCATGCTTTTTTCTTTATTTTATTTTCTAGTTTTTTCACGAATTTATTTCTAAATCATGTGATTAGGGTCTATGTTAAGAGTCAAAATTAAGGTAATATATATCGTTAATTAATATTAAACATGTGAGATAAGAAAAAAAATCATAATCTAAAAAAATTATTTTATTAATTTTTTACATCTAACCGATTTTGATATACTTATATAAATTTACCATATTCATTTCCGATTATGTATAACTTCTCCCTTATTTTGTAAAAATAAAAGTGTATCCAAAATTTTAATCAAAACTCTTTTGTTTTGTTTTAAACCTTTTTATTGATGCTCATTTTCAATAAATTTAAGATGTGAGAAAATTAAATAATTTTTCTTTAATATAGTTTTTCTTCCAATATTGTTAGGAATTACTCTATAGGGGACATTTGGATCATATAAAGTTTTATTATATAAAGATATTATATTAACAGAATAAAAGATCACTTTGAAGATTATTGGGAATGTTTAGAAAATGTGTTTAGTTGGTTCAAATAAATTGGTAAATAATATGTTTGGTTGGAGGGATAAATTGGTGGGTATGTTATATAGATTACTAAATTGTCTTCATTTTTAAATATTAATATAACAATAATTTTTATTATTACTTTTTGAATAACTTCATTTAACCCCTTACTTTTAAGATTTAGCAAAAACACTCTAGCAACCAAAAATGTTTTAAACAACAAAAACACTCTAAGCCACTGCCGACAGCCAGCCACCACTGTTGGCGGCCGCTAGTAGTGCCACAAATTTGGTTGTGACGCAGGCAATGCCATAGATCTAGTCGTTTTACGGCTAGAGATGTGGCTGTGAAACGGCCATAGATCTAGCCGTGAAATGGACAAGTCTTTGGTTGTGAAATGTCAGTCGTTTCATGGCCAAAGACTTGGCTATTTCACAGCCAGATCAATGGTTGTTTCACGGCCTCACAACCAGATCTAGCTTTTTCTGACAGATCCATGGTCAGAAAAAGTCTCACCCGCGTACGGCTGATCGTACACCATTATGGTGACTTTTGGCAGCCTCCGGTGACGGTCAACGGTGGCTGCCGGTGGTGGCTAGTTTTAGGTATAATGACATTTCTGTAAATAATGATAATAACAAGGGCAATGTCGTTTGAAAAATTTAAAAAGCGAGGACAAAAGTGTTTGCATGAGTGATTGAGTGTTTTGTAAATATTAACATATATAAAGTTATTTTGGACCAAATGCTCAATTGTTTAAGGCCAATATGAGAAAAAAATTGTAATACCAAGGTAAGTTTTAATAACAACCCCCCTAGGTATTAAGATTACTAGAAATTTACCCCCCAAATTCTACTATTTGTCATAAAATATTCCGGGAATAATTTTTTACAAACCAACCAAACATCGTCATCTTCTCAATTTAAAAAATATTACCCCAGTTATCTAATATTAACTCGATCCAAATAGCCCCATAATATTATAAGGTTTATTACACTGCCACCTCTAATTGGTTCAGCGTGAAAACACTTTCCTATTGATTTTCAAAAATAACACTCTGACCCTAAGTAATCTTTTCACCTCTTATGTTGTTATGTTAATTTGACAAAACTTACATTTAGAGGGAACTAAGTTAGTTTCCTAAAATTAAGAGAAATAAAGTTTTTAAACCTTGGGGGTGCCTAATAATTAACCCTAATTTTATATACTGCATAATATTTCTAAAACACATGGTAGTGTAATTGTTAAAATTTGAAAATGTGTTTATATTATATACATTTTATCATATAACTTAACTATATTGTAGTTGACAAAACATAATTTACATATTGTTTTAAAATTAAAAATTATGATTATTAGTCACATAAATCATAATTTTTTCTAAAATCATATAAACTTGGAATCCCCTTGGGCTTTCGGGTCGAGCCCAGAGACAGGGGTCCCCAACCCCGACCTGGCCCCGACTCGGCCCATGCCCATCCCTAGACTTGATAGTTTTCGTCTTTGTAGTGCAATTATTACCATCTATTTTTAGTAATCAGTTGTATTTCTGCATTATGTGTGAGACTTCACTTTCAACTACCTTTTTGGCCTTAATTGGTTCCTCTACCCATCCTTTTTTTATATTCTATTTGTCATATTGTATATTGTAATTGCAAGGGAGCATTTATGAATCTTGAAACCTTTGTTTGTTGTTGGGATATCTATCTTCTTTTTCTTTGAGCTTTTCCTTTTTTAATTTACTTTTTCATCTCATAATCAACTAATATCTTTTATTTGCATTTTTAGGTTGCATTTAGGATCGCAGCATGACAACACTTCCATCTTCCGAACCGATTACAGAATTAATTCCAGGCGTTACTTCTGATGAAGAACTTGAGATCCATATTTTTACTCGACTAGATTTTACAACACTTGGGATCTGTACGAGGCATGCCGAGGGGCCTAAAGTTCCATTATTCACCGTAGAAAATGCATACATATTTTTAGGTAGCATGATTGCTACCATTGCGACTACAATGTTGTTTGACAAAACTCTGTTTAATACGTTGTTGAAAGCTAGAATCCATGTGATTTTTCTAGCAGTATGCATTTTTTTGGGCATTTTATGTTTTTTATATGGTCTTTGCCTCTTAATGGTGTGTAAATGCCCAAGAATTGGGCAACCGGTACTAAAAGTTGGCATGGGGGCTACTACGTACCCCTTGCAGCCACCTATTCCTTGAGCTGATAATGTATTGGTTCACTTTTGGGCTTGTTGTAGCTTGCTCACTACCAATTTTGGGTATTGTAGTGAGATATTGCTGACTTTTGTGTTGTAGTGAGATATTAGTAACTTTTGTGGTGTAGTGAGAGAAAAATATTAGTTACATAATTCATAATTCATGGTATATGGTATTTTACTATTCATTAATAGTTTATCCCTAACTGGTTTAGCGTGAAAACACTTTCCTATTGATTTTCAAAAACTAACACTCTGACCCCAAGTAACATGTCCATTGGTTAAACATTTCATATTTAAAAAAGGTTCATAATTTATTTAAAATATCTTTTTTACCTATGTTTATTTGACAAAACTTACATTTAGAGGGAACCACGTTAGTTTCCTAAAATTAAGAGAAATAAAGTTTTTAAACCTTGGAGGTGCCAAGTAATTAACCCCAATGTTATATACTATATAATATTTCTAAAACACATGGCTATATAATTATTAAAATTTGAAAATATGTTTATATTTTATACATTTTATTTTATAACTTAACCATATTGCAGTTGGCAAAATATAATTTGCATACTTTTTTAAAATTAATAAGTATGATTATTAGTCACATAAATCATAATTTTTTCTAAAATCATTTAGATTTTCTTACAATTTTAAACTAAAAATTATAATTAATCTTATCATTTTTATAGTTGACTTTATCAACACAAAATAATTATTTTTGTATTGTAATTAATTTAAACAATTATGAGTTTATTATAGAAATAATGCAAAATAAAAATTTAATTTTAGAAAAGGAGTATACTTAGAAATGCAAGAGACTTCACCCATCTTGCATTGAATTGATTCTTTCGTTATGTATATAATTATAATCTTAAGCAAAATATAATTGATCTTAAGATAAATATAATCTTAAGGAATTGTCTAACGGTCCTAAATCTTGAACCCTAGAACCGCATCTGAGTTTTTTTTTTTTTTTTTTGGGCAATCGACGATCTTGGTGAACATTTTCTTCTTACTAGCGACTCCTAAATCCGGCTACCTCTTCGTTTCTCTAGTTCTACTTCTTCTGTTTTATCGATGATTTCTATGTCTGTTCTGTTCCAGCAAACTCTTTTGTTTATTCCAGCGATCTCTCCTCAAGTCTTCTTGGTTCATTGTGCAAAGGTATCACTATCAGCCTTAAATTTCAATAATTTTAGTATTGGTAATATACATGTAGATGGTTGTTCGGTTTAGTAACATTGATTGATTATTTTCTTTTTCCTTTTTAAATATTATTTGTTTGAAATGTTGAATAACCTCAAGACCATTTTTTTTTTTTTCTGGTTTGGTTACCTTCTTTTGTAATATGTAAGGAGGTGACTCTCCTACTTTGCTGTTTAATTCCAAGAATTCCCACGTTACTTTGTGGTTAAAATATATGCTTCTGTCTAATCTTTGGATTTAAATTGTTTCAGCATACTGTTTTTTTTTTTTTTTTTTGTGCTTATATTTTTTATTCAAATAACTTGTAAATGTTAATAACATAAATACTATATATACGTATTAAGTCATTTAATTAATAATATAATAAATTATGGTAATACATTACGAATAGAATTGTAATTAAGAGATTTAAAAAAAAATTATCTTAAATCGACATAATCTATCATTTATCAATAGACATAATGTATCATTTCATAAGAAACATATTTTTTTGATAATTTGATAAGAAACTTAAAAAAAATTGGATATAAAGCCTCTCAACAATTTTAATATAGTACAAGTTATAATACTATAATAGTATTATTATATGTATCATTTGATCATTATAAAGGTTTTTTTTTTTTTTTTTTAATTTAGGGATTCCCTGAATTCCTTGAAATCTGTGCAGGCTGGATTTTGGGATTCCCCGATTTGAGAAGGGCTGGATTTGGGGAATCCCCTTAGGCTTTCAGCCAGACTTGGAGACAAGGGTCCCTTGCACCAACCTCGCCCCAACTCGGCCCTGACCTGGCGCTAACTAGTGTAACAAATCCCACATTGGAAGCGTATTGGGGAGGTCTTGGGCTTATAAATGGGGGGGAGTCCCTCCACCTAATAGGTTAACCTTTTGGGTGTGAAACTCCCAGCCCGTGACAAGTGTGCAGAGCAGACCCAATCCGTCTTTCGATGTCCTGCCAACGCCCACGCAAGAGCGTCCACGTGTGATTGTGTGCCACCCGAGAGTGAGGTGGACGGGTAGGCAGGAGGCCCCACCTGTGACGAGGGCGTCACAGGATTGGGTGGGGGA